CTCTCTCTCTCAGGAGGGATTTGCATCTGCATTTGTGTGTCATTTCGAAAGACAATTCGATTCTTTGGAAGATACGATTGGTCTGTGCACTGTGAAGGCATGGAGTTTGTCACTCTCCAACCAGTGGTCGCCTGTGTTGGTTTGCTGCAGAGATTATTCAACTTGTGTGCAAGCAAGGATGGTGATATCGGCTCGATAAGGGAGTACTGGAGCCACTTGCCAGGGAACGTTGTCGATAACCAATTTTCTCACAATGGTTGTACGAGTCATGCATCAACTGTTTACTGCCATGGAGAAACTTAGCCTCTTGCCTTTTGAGCTTAATTGAGATATCGAGGTGACCTAGAAGCTGAATCGACATCGTTGCTCAAGGTAAGAGGATGCATGCCATCTGTGTCCGAGCTTTTTATCATGTACCTTCGGAAATGAATGGAATATAACTCTGTTGCGATCTGTATCTTTGCAAATTAGTTTGCTGAACTGTATATATTACAATGCGCTCTAGTTTAATGTGTTTGGTCTCTTGTTGATGCGATGGTTGAGGGGTCTGATGCCCTCTTGTGGATTAGGCCTGCACAGGCACAAGGATTGCAACGGGCAACAATGTCAAAGGAAGGCAAGTTTGTTTGTGTCATCAAAACCTGACTGACAGAACAGATTGTGTTCAGCTGATCCAAGCTGTCTAACAGACAAGGGGTTTAAGGATGGGTTGCTTTGACCCACCCTACGATTGCACCAGTTCAGCTGATCCTTGTGGGGTGAACTGGTGCAATCGCAGGGTGGGTGGGAAGGTGGGGTGGTGCCGTGTCAGACTAGGTAGACGGATCAGGGAATGAAAGTAGGGCACGGCTGCAAAGGGCGTGGGTTTCTAGGATTCAACCCACACATAGCTGCTACCTTGAGGTTGTGTTTTTCCTCTGGACCTCTTCGCATCCAACAGACACCACCATTTGCGCCCTCCGAGCCCCTCAACCTCTCTCTCTCTCTCTCTCTCTCTCTCTCTCTCTCTCTCTCTCTCTCTCTCTCTCATTCCTTCTCTAATTCTCTCTCTCTATCTTGAGAAATGCGGATATAACAAATGATACCGTATGAATGTAATGCAAACATTATGGAAGACAATCGGAAATGACGCTGGACCATTTTGTTTCATGAAGCGTAATATTCCAAAGGAAATAAAGAGTCCGCTACCACGAGAAACCGGGGAAGCGACGGAGAGAAATTTATAAACAATATAACTCACCTGTGAAAGAAGTAAAAAGAAATTTCCAAGAAGTCCGAAAAATTCCATAATACCATGCAGGCAGACAACAAACGAAATCAGTAAAATGAATGTAAACTTACACTCAAACCGAATTCATTCACGTAAATTTCACAAAATATAAATGCAATGTATCACAACGAGAAAGAGTGAAATTCCAAGGACAAAATGAACGCGGACAGCAAAAAAATTGAGTGTAGCGGAATACGCACGCAATTGCGAACAGGTATGGAGAGTATAGAAATGTGAAGTTATATTGCAGCAGCGAATCACGCGACGACATCAACTACGGAAGCCAAGACATGCGACGGAGGTGCGATGATGAGGAGAGTTCTGCCAGGGATAGAGGTTGAAGGACAGGAAGGACTCGGATCAGTAGGGTATAAATATTTGAGACAGTGGCTGTGATGATTACCTGAGCAGTGAGGCAGAAGGGTAGTCGCGGCAAGTAGGTTGTCGCATGCCATTGACAGGACGTGTATACTGTGAAAGTAAAGCCTCGCATGTGTTGTCTACATATTGCAAGTCTCTCTCTCTCTCTCTCGTCTGTGCATGTGCACGTTTGTAAGAGTGCATCTGTGTTTCTTTCTCTCGTCTGCATATTGAAAGAATGGTAAATTTTCCCGGAAGATACTTTGTCATACCTATGCATGGTGATTGATGGGATTTGTTGAATCTGTCTTTTCCCTTCTCTTTTTTTTTCTTTTTTTTTTCACAATTGGCTATTGCAGAGATCGTGTAACTTTCATGCAAGGCAGGAATGGGCAGATCGGTTCAAGGAGAAAGCAGGAATGGGCAGGTCGGTGGTTCAAGGAGAAAGCCTTGTTGTCCAGAGGCGAAGTTTCTACTCACTTGTTGTAAGAATCGCATAGCAACTGGTCACTGCCAAGGAGGTGAAGGCGACCAAGCAAGAGGATGAATCAATTGTGGGTGAGGTGAAATGATGTACCCAGTATCTTACCTTTTTATCGCATGTCTTTTCATATTTCTTTAAATTCCGGCATCTTTGTTAATCGTTGTGGTTCGTTGTTTAGAAATCGTGTAGTTTGCCTTCCGTTTCGTTTATTTTAATGCTTTGAATTTAATACCTTTTTCTTTGGCGAGGCTGAGCAATGTGCCCGGAAAAAAACGGCGGCATTGAGATAGATCGTGTTGGCATCTACTTGGATGTCATCGCTCCTACTGAGCAGGCTGCTTTCAGAACGTGCAATCCTACATTTTCTGCTCTTATGGGAGGACCTGATGTGGTGTGAAGTGGAGGGAGAAAGATCCTGCAATGCGAAAAGGGCTTTGCAGTCTTTAAGAAAGTCTAAAAATAGACCTAGTGTCTCAGCTTTGTGTACTGGGGATGGTGTCTGCAACCACTGAGGGGAAGAAGGGTGATGCAAGTCAGGAAGGAGAGAGAGAGAGAGAGAGAGAGAGAGAGAGAACGAGAGAGAGAGAGAGAACGAGAGAGGATGTCCAAGCAAGAAGGCTCACACAATCTTACATTTTGCTGTTATTTGGTGACCTGAGGTGATTTGGAGCGGTGGAAGATGGGATGTGATATCGGAACGAGGCTTTGCGGGCTTAAAGATAGGCTTTGCGGGCCTAAAGATAGAGTCTAATGCACCTCGTATCTCATCTTGGTGTACGAGTGGCGGCATATGGGAATATACAGCCAGAAAGGGGAAATGAGAGAATGTCGTCCGAGCAAGCAGGCTCGAGCAATCGTACATTTTGCTCTTATTGGGCGCCCAAAGATGCTGTGGTACATTGGGATGCAGACTATGCAGTGGGAACAAGCCTTTCCGGGGCTTAAGATTGTCTAATGGACCTAGCATGCCAACTTTATGTATGGGTGAATTTGTGCGTAGACATACAGCCAAAGAGTGGAAGGGTGGTGCGGTGGGGAAAATATAAGAGAGAGAGAGAGAGAGAGAGAGAGAGAGAGAGAGAGAGAGAGAGAGAGAGAGAGAGAGAGAGAGAGAGAGAGAGAGAGAGAGAGAGA